TCTTTAATTGACTTGTTTTCAAAGTTTAGCCTGTGTTTTGCTCAATGCAGTGTTGTAGCTGGCTTGTGTTGGGTCTCTTCTCACTCCTGCCCTGTAATTTTAAAGATCTATAAAGCACAGCAGGTGCACTGGCCTCAGATCAGAGTTGCCAACAGAATGAGAGAGATTGATTAGAGCCATTGGTTTTCTGCAAACACTCAGCATCACACTGTTTCATAAATATATCAAAATGTTTAAGCATACTCATTTTGGAGAGGACAGCAGGCGTGTAATTTCAGAATAATTGACACTGTAATCAGCATCTGGGTTCATTGTTGTGATCAGTAGTCTTGGAAAAGATGTGGTTTTGTTTAGTGAGAATTATGAAGCAGATGCTTAATGATAGCAGTTAATGTTTCAGATGCAAGCAGATCTTTGAGTTGAAAAAAGAGGCTTTGACAGGGTAGACTGCAGGAGTTCTCTGTGGATTTTTGTGCGTCTGCGGCTTTGATTTACTGGGGTAAAGGAGTAAAGTGCAGTTCAGGCAGGAAGGATTTGTTGTTTGATCAAATTTGAATTCATAAGGAGGGCTTTAGGGGTTGCACAGATGCTGGGAACAGAGCGAATCGTTTGGCAATCAGGAAAGTTGAGTAAAGAGAAGAATGATGTGAAGGTTTAAGTGCACTCGCACACTTAACTCTGCAAATGACAATGCCAGACCACATACTGCATCAATTACAACATCATGGCTGCGTAGAAGAAGGATCCGGGTACTGAAATGGCCAGCCTGCAGTCCAGATCTTTCACCCATAGAAAACATTTGGTGCATCATAAAGAGGAAGATGCGACAAAGAAGACCTAAGACAGTTGAGCAACTAGAAGCCTGTATTAGACAAGAATGGGACAAATTCCTAAACTTGAGCAACTTGTCTCCTCAGTCCCCAGACGTTTGCAGACTGTTCTAAAAAGAAGAGGGGATGCCACACCGTGCTAAACATGGCCATGTCCCAACTTTTTGGAGATGTGTTGATGCAATGAAATTTAAAATCAACTTATTTTTCCCTTAAAATTATACATTTTCTCAGTTTAAACATTTGATACGTCATGCATGTTGCATTCTGAATAAAATATTGAAATTTGAAACTTCCACATCATTGCTTCCTGTTTTTATTCACAATTTGTACAGTGTCCCAACATTTTTGGAATCGGGTTTGTACATGTGTTTGCGTGTGTTTTTATGCATGGCTGTATCTGTGGTCTCTCTTATCCCAAAACCCTCCTGCAGCATTTTGAGAGTGGATTGGCACACAAATCATGCTCATGTGTGCCTCAAACCATCTCTGCACGCCAGGCCATACAAACCAATCTGGCTTTTGCTCCTACCATTCTTCTTCACGCCAAGTCCACTTAACCCACTTGACCTGATGCCAGCTTAGCCTGTGCCATTCTAAGCTCTCCATCCCCAAAGTCAATCCCTATTTAAACCAAAGTCCTTTCCTCTGTCACATTACTGTTCTAGCCCTCGCTGCTGCAAACGGCTCATTGCACAAACTACAGCACCGCTTAAATGTCATTTTTGGATCATTAGCTTTTTCTTAGGGTGTTTAAGATACAGTATGTGTCGCTTCCATTTGCAAATGTCATGACTTTTACTTCCAGACGCCCCTACTGATTGGTCTCTTTCAACGGTAATCCCTTTAAAGGCGGCATTAAAACTCATAAATGCTTGATTGTGCCCCAGCTTACTGCCACACTGCTGGCATCTGTGAGATTTGCTGAAGGCCAGGGGCTCATTGCAAATCAGTGTTTTGGGGCTAAATTGCTTTTGTCTGTTTCTTTTGTGGCTGAATTATGATGGTCTGTGTGCAGTCTTATAGGAAACAAAAGTCAAAATGTGATCTTTTTAATGTCTTGATTATTTTTCTTAGACCAGGAGTTTCCAAACTGAGGTCCAGGGCACATTAAGGTTCTTAACGTTAATGTGTTATCAATTTAATATGTTTAACACAGCCATTTTCAAGACATTTACTAAATTTGATATTTTTACTGTTGCATTTTTCATTCTGGTTTCTAAAGACTGTTCAAAAGCCATGTGATTAATAATATAATGTTCATATGTTAAGACATTTTTACTAGGGCCCTTTTTAACAATATAATATCAAATAGAGAAAGTCTGCAAGAGAATGAATAAATAAGTGTGTGTGTGTGTGTCTGCAGATTTTCTCCATCATATTAAATTATAAGGAGAATAAATGATTACTTTTATATAAATAGAATTTATTTGTGTATTCTGTAGATTTTTCTTCAGAATGAATGAATGGAAATCATTCGTTTGTTCGTTTATTTGTTTATTCGTTCACTTATGTATTTAACAAACAAGCAATAAATAAATAAATAATCAATCAATCAGATTTGGCAAGATACCAATGTCTGTGATCAGAAGTCAGAGATTTCATTATGAACTAAAAAAATGCACATGTTCTTAGCTATGCTATCCACAATCATTTTATGTCGTCATTTGTCTCATTGGTGTCCGATTTAGGAATTTTACAAGAAACATCTGAGATTAAGTGAATCCTTAAATGAAACTCATCTGAGAGCAGCCTATGAGCAATAGATTATAGTCAGGGGTGTTGTGTTTTTGGGCAGGGTGCAGTGAGGACACAGGGTGAAGGATGAGGACAGACCCAGAAACCCCCTTGCAGGAGTCTGGCCGGTTGTCCCCTCACCTCCATACGCTTGGGTCCCACCACAAAACCCCAAACAAGCGGTCACTTCCCCCCAGGGACCGCTGCTGTTCCTGGCAAACAGTTTCTCCTCCCCACACCTCCCTCCATCCTTCCCTTCCATTTTCCTCTCTTTCATCTGCAGAGTTTATTTTGCTGTACTGGCACCGATGACAGAATTGCTTCTTGTCTGAGTCATGGGTGTTTATAAAACGGTATTATAAGTATTTTGTTTTTTACAGCATGTTATATTTTGGATGCCAGTGTATTGTTGTTCCTATCAGGCTGCTTAATTAGCCTAACCAGCAAGAAATCCTTGGTCAACCAGCTTCCTCATCAAGAGAACAGTTAAGTAAGTTTTGCTGGTCCACTTGGAAGACCAGCTCCAAACCAGCATAAACCAGCCTGGACCAGCATGCAATTGCAGGTCTTTTGAGCGAGGCAAGACACTTTAGTTGGCATTTTGGTAAAAGTACAGCTCAAATAGAATTTTATGAGTTTGCAGAGTGTTAGTTGCTCAATTCAGTGTCCTTCTGGTGAGCCAAGACACTCATCTCATACAATAACAGTGCAGAACTCTGGATAATTAATGTACCTATACAGTATGTCCAAAGTGTTTTGGAGGCCAAACAAATGTCTATATTTTACTACAATTATTTTCATTACAAATTAAAATTGGACAGTGTTTCTTTCTTGTTTTCAATTTCTTCTTGAAATTGGACAATTCTTTCTTCACCTGATTATCATGTTTTCTAATCTATTTAACACTTTAAAATGGTCCTTTCCCAAAATATAAATTTAAATAAAAATAGAAAAGAAAATTAAGCAAAAGAATGAAACGAAAATAAAATGTAAGATCAGAAGCTGATGGGGACTATACTAAATAAATTAATATCATATAAATAATCAATAAAATAAACAATTAAATTAAATTAAACATTCATTGTCACAAATTTGCTTACATTTGACAATATTTCCTTTATTGTTCACCTTTCATCATTCTTTTAAACGCTTTAATTTTCCTTTAAATTACCAATTAAATATTGCTGAATCCTATTGCAACCTTTTTATTTCTTTAATTTACAGGTTTATATGGAAATTTCACACTTTTTAAATATATAATTTGTTTATTTCATAGAATTTGTTTTTCATAAAACATGCTACATGTATAATGCCACGCTGTAATTACTGAACGTAACCATTTGCTGTAATTTTTCAGCACAGACGTGTTACACCCATTAACCTTATGATTATTAATGTTTTAATCCTTTCACATGCATGCATGCATACACTATTAGTCTGCAGGAAGAGTCACTTTAGCTTTCGAAAACGCACAAATTCAAGGACATCCATTTATTCAGTGTTTCGCATATTTATGAGTGCATAGCAAATATGCACTTTGTTGTTCAGCTTGTTTGTTGTGGTGAGTTAGTGAACTGAAGAAACTGGCAACAGACCATGAAGGATCTTCTGCAGTACTCTCCAGTGAGCAGAGCCCAGACCCAAATGAGCTTCATTTGCTGTCCTCTCAGATATTTCACCTCGTCTCGCTCCCTGCCCGAAGCAGCCGCCCCAGACCGAGGCTGTCATATGATCGTCCCCTGCTCTGCTTCATCTGAAAGAGCTTAGTCTTTGTGTCAGTGGCCGCTACAGTGACTACGGTCAGGCTGAGGTCGGGTCCGACGCTGTTTTGTCTATAATCATGTATCGATAATGATGAATTAACATGAATAGTACCACATGGGCTTACGCTTAGCTGGCTTTGTGTTCTATCACGTAGGGGACTCCGGCGTGAATGTCATGGTTGAAGGTCATATGCTAATGTGCTTTGTTTTGTTGTCATTAATGACTTTAGGAATTGGAATTCTTGCAACTTTTCATGCTTGGCTGGTTTGTTGAGATTATGTACCATTATGCATTATGTCCCTTTGCTTTAAAATGGGTTTGGCTAGACACCCAATTTTATTGGTTAAAATTACTGCTGAAAAGAGCCCTTACCTCAGGATGAATTTCTGGTCCTGGCTGGTGTATTGGTTTGGTGCTGGTAGACCAGTATGGTCATGCTGTTAACCAGCAAAACAAAGTTGGTAAAGCTAATTGACTTGCATGATTTTTCAGATGAGAGTTGCTGACTTTAAATATTAAATTGACAATATATAATTAAATAAAAAATTAAAACAACATAAACAATAAAATAAAAAAATAATTAAATATAAAATTAAATGAAACAAATTAAAAATACTAAATAAAATGTTCAATTAATTTTCTCTTTTCTTACTCTCTTTTGGTGAATAGGTTCCCGTTCCCCACTGTGTTCAGTACGTGTAGTAAGAAGGATCTGGTGGCTAGTCTGGAGAAAGGGGTGGGCATGTGTTTATATAATATGCCTGAAGTCAAATTGCTGTACGGGGGACAGAAATGTGGCAACGGATACATTGAAGAAGGAGAGGAGTGTGACTGCGGAGAGCCAGAGGTACGAAAGATTCACACACATCAAAGATCTTTGTTTCGTCACAACAAAGCTGCTCATCTAGCTGTTAGGATTAGCAGGTCTTCGGCAATGTTTGGAATTTGATTTGGTCAGTTTAAAATTCAAAGGCAAGTCTGGCTTTTCACTCTGACTTTGTCCTCAAAACCCATTCCTGTTTTGACACACATTCAGAAACAACACAGCCTTCACATCTAGGCACACCTGTTAAATAGCAAATTATTATATTGCAAGTCTGAGACAATAAAAATGTTTCTTATACATTTTACCAAAGCTTTGTTTTCTTTTCTTTTGTTTTAATTTTCACATTCCTTACACTTTTTACAGTTGTAAATGGAATTCAAAGATTTTCAGGTTATTTGTAAATATGAAATAGGATACATATATAATGCTACACTATAAGTACTGAACATACAAATGAAAAACATGAAAGAACAGTTTCCGCGGGTCTTAAAAAAAGTCTTAAAAAGTCTTAAATTTAGTTGTATCAAATTTAAGGCCTTAAAAAGTCTTAAATTGTACAATAAAGACGTAATTATGATTTGAAGAGGTCTTAAATTTTGGGACGGAAAGACCAGAATTGCGATATGGCTGAATGTGATGATTAAACTTTAAAAGGCTATGATTTCATTGAATAAACACAAGCGCTGCATGTTCAAAGTCCAGTGCTCCACTGCTGTTCTGCTGTTACCAGGGAAACAGTTATATTTCTACCAAACGCTCCACCTGCTGGCAGAGAAATGAATGAGCATTTTCAATAAAACTGTTGTTTTGTTCAGAGTTCAGACAAATGCAAAAATTGACCCATGTTTTTACCCTGCAAACACGCAGAGCTTTAAATGTGAACTGGTGGATCGATAAGAAGACAATGCATTATAAAAATCTAATAGGGGTGTGCGATATGCATGGTCTGCGATAATATCGTAATTGTTGTTTTAATGATGTGCGATTTGATACGATCGAGTATATTGCGAAAAGCAAACAAAACACCTACAGAGTGCACGCATATATTATGTGATGAAGTCTAGCAGGTTAGACTAGTGTTTAATGTTTTATGTTTAAAATATCAAAACATTATTTATGCATTTAAACAATTATTTTGTTTAAATTAATATAATAATAAATTTTTTCTTAAATTAAAATTATTTAAGAATCTTAAATTAATTTCTCAAAAATGGTTTAAAGGCTGAAATGTAAAGTTTATCATTTTATAAAACTTTTTGTTTTTGTGAAAACTTGTATCTAAACTGTATGTTATGCTTTTTTACAATCATTTCACAGTTTAATGTTAATATAGACATTGCCCTACCCCGCTCATATGGTATTCATTTTATTTGTGCAGGTCTTCAAAAAGGTCTTAAGTCTTGAATTTAAGCTTAAAAATCCTGCAGAAACCCTGTCAATACATTAAGATCAAAAGTTCTGTATCTGTGAACAATGGATAATGCACTGTTAATAAACAAATGAGACCTTCTCATCTCATTTGTCCATACTCATACAATAAACCTCTTTAAAATTAATATAAAATTATAGATAACACTTTAGTATAGGGACCAATTCTCACTATTATCTAGTTGCTTATTAGCATGCCTTTTATTTAAATTCACGGAACGGTCGTCCATAAAATGCATTGCTGTTCTGTTGTAAGCAATCTTAAAGATTCCTAAATGCATCTACTTCTGGAAGGCCAAATAAAGTGCTTTTGCTTTCGCCTAGAAACACACACCATCTCCCTGACATGGCTGCTTCAACACTAACTGCGGTTACTGAAACCACGCCTTCTTTCTTTGCATGCACATTTGGGCGGCATTATGCAAATATTCCCACATAGTGACCTAGATATGTGGGGGCGTGTTAGAACGAGCCGTTTTAGGGGGGTGTGGCAGAATCTTAACTTTGATAAAGAATATCTCTTTGGTTTTGAGACTTTAGTCTTTGCAACTTCAGGGATCTTATCTATGCACAATCCGCTTCTAATACTCCAAAGAGAAAGGAAAACTTGAAATCGCATCATATGACCCCTTTAAAGAGTGAATGGGGAACGATTATTTCTAATACAGTTCAAAATAAAGCTGATTATGGAACCTATTCGTAAAGTTACAGAGTTAAACACTTTGGGATGGCCTGCGGAGCCTTAAGCTACAAGATTCATGTCTTTTACAAGAGAAATAAAGCATGGTGAGATATTTGGTATGCTTACTTTGATTTGTCCGTTTTAAATTCAAAGTGATCTTCACACAAACACTGTATTACTGAAGTGGCACGCTAAAGTGCGCACAAGCAAGAAAAATTTAGGCGGAGTCTGAGAAGGAAATCCTCAATAAACAAATCTTCGTTAATGTTGAATTTTGATGTAAAATATTTAAGTCCATGTTTGAGAATATGTGACCTTGGCTTAAACTAAATTATAATTCTGTGTTAAGCATGAACAGTCAACATGGGCTTGGCGGTTGGGGCGCCAGTAGGGGCGCCACTGATCATTGCTGCCTTAAAAAAATGACAATGTTCTGCATAGGAAAGTTTTATGATATAGACAAATTTCTGACCTAATCAAATTTAGGTCAGAAATGTTGCAGCTCCCATCTGAGCTGTGGTGCAGTGGGTCACATGTGTTTGTGACACAAACAACCTGTTAGAACCCAGGTTTGTGTTATCTGTGCAGCCTGATCCCCTTCCACCTCTCTCTTCCCCTTCCTGTCTGTCTCCACTGTCCAATAAATAATATGCCCCCTTAATATCATGTAGTAATGGAACTGGAGACTTCAAAAATGGTCTGTGTAATTTAGATGTCATGGAGGCATATTGTGTCAGTGTAGACCTGAGGGGGAAAAAACCTGCCCTGAACTTTAAAGTCTAAGATCTTGTTAGGGGGGAAAAGATTCAGAATGGCACCTGGGAGCTCCAGTGATCTCACCAGGAGGAATGAGAGAGGAAGCGGGTAAAGAGCAGAGAGGAAGCCCAGCAGCATGTATTTTGTGTTGGGTAGAAGGATGAGAGAAACCCATCCCCCCATCATTTCGCACTGACTGATGGTAATTTAGAGAAAACAGCAGGTCTGTAAAGAGATTTCTTTGACTCTGAAGAGTTTGAGCCAGCGGACTGACCTTACCTAGCCCAACCCTTCAGCACCTCTCCCAGTCCACACCAGGACCTTGTTAAAGAGGGGGAGAAAAGGAGTGAAAAAGAGAAATAAAAAGTCCCAAAGACATTTTTGTGTGGTGTATGAAATAAAATGTTAGTGCTTGAGGTCTTAATGAGCTTCTTGTGTAGGCCTACTTTTAGAGAAGGACAAAGCTCTTCTGCTTCACTTCAACAACAAAGCAAATGGTTTTTAGTCTTCAAAATTCACCTCTATCTCTTCCTCTCCCCCCTTTCTTTTCTGAGAAAAATTATGTCCTCTTTCCTTCAATTGTGCTCAGACTCTGACGTTCCCATCACTTCCAGTCTTGGGTCAGTGATGTTACTCACTTAGACACGTACACACGTGAACACTGTTCACTGATACCAAGAGTTCAGAGTTTGAGAAAAACATTTTTCAGAACAACACATGAAACACTAACACACACACTCACACACACAAACCTACAGTAACGTTTCCCAACATTTGTTTTGTTACCATGGTTTCAAAGAACTGGTTGACAGAAGGGAATTTCTTAAAAGAATATGAACTCAACACCTGGAACTAATATCTACTATAATAATCATACAAGATGTTTGTGTTTTATTGGTTTATTTTTGTTGCTTTCCATTGTTTTTCTGTAACCCCTAATTATCTAATGTCAAATTAAAGGGGTCATAGCCTGTGCTATTGTAGCATTTTATTTTCCCCCTGAAGTCTAGTTATAATGTTAGTCAAGGTTTCTTGCACCAAAAACAATTGTAATTTTGCTTTTTGGCCATTTTATACAATTATACACCTCCTTTCTGATCCATGCAATTAAACAGCCTGACTTAAATATGTAAATGTACCTCTATTAAAATGTCCTAATCTGTTATAATTTTTACAGTAGGTGTAGAAAATAATCACCCCCTTTAAAATAATCACATTTTGTTGTTTTGCAGCCTGAAATGAAGATGGACACAGTTTTTGTTTTATCCAGCTGTATTTACACAGTGCAACTTATAACATCCAAGTGAAAGATATAAGTCAGAAAGAGCTTTATTGCCAAGTATGTTTGAACGTACAAGGAATTAGTTTTAGTGTCACAAGCTTCCAGTACACAGAGGCAACAACAACACACCGATAATAAAAATAAGATGTGAATAAAATACACATGCATAAATACAATTTATTCTTTTATTTTGGTTTATTTATATGTACAGGTGTGCTATAGAGCAGGAATAGAATACAATTAAATAAATAAAAAAATAGTAAGTTGTAGGGATGTACTAGGATTTAGAGTGATATATAAGTATAAGGTTATTACCCATACTTTTATTGCACAATGGGAGAACATTAACTGTTCATGAGGTAGATTGCCTGGGGAAAGAAACTGTTCTTGTGCCTGGCTGTCCTGGTATTCGGTGCTCTGTAACGTCGACCATATGGCAAAAGTTCGAAAAAAAGGAGATGGCTTGAATGTGAGGGATCCAGAGTGATTTTCTGAGCCATTTTCCTCACTCTGGATGTATACAGTTCTTGGAGGGTAGGCAGGGGAGCACCAATAATCCTTTTAGCAGTCGGAACCGTTCTCTGTAGTCTTCTGATGTCTGATTTTGGAGCTGAACCAAACCAGACAGTTATTGAAGTGCACAGGACTGACTAAATGATGGCAGAGTAGAACTCTTTCAGCAGCTCCTGTTGCAGGTTGAATTTCCTCAGTTGGCGAAAGAAGTACAACCTTTGTTGGGCCTTTTTAACAATGGAGTCGATGTGAGTGTCCCACTTCAGGTCCTGAGAGATGGTGGTTCCCAGGAATCTGAATGA